GATCCGGATCGGTTTTTGAAAAGCCCGATCCGGATCACCGATCCGGTTTTTAAACCATTGGTCAATTCATTTTTCGAGCGCATATACTATGCTCCCTGCTCCTATTTGGGAGGACTTCTCCAGTAGGAAATTATGGTAACCTCCTTATAATATCTTTCGCATTATTTTTTTAAGAGATTAGTACTTGCACCGAATGTTGTCCGGTTCATTCGGTTTGGTGAGAAAAAAGAAGCAATTCGATGCTTCGGGCTAATTCGGGAGAAGGCTTCAAATTTTTTTTAATTTAAATTAATTTTTATATGAATATTTAAAAATAATAAAAAAATTTAAAAAAGATTCAGAAAAAAACAAAAAACATACTTTTATATAAATATTTCTTTGCTTCGGCTGAGTCACCACGAATCTGACTGAAGCCACAACACTATGCTTCGCTTCACTTCGGTCTCGGCCTAAAATCCGAAGGCTTCGGTCTCGATCTAAAATCCGAGGGCTTTAACCTCTTTGGCTGAAAATCCTAATTTGACAACACTGGTTGCACCTGTTTAAAAAAGGAAAAATTATATATTCCCCACTGGACCTAACATTTCATTATGTAAACATTGCGTATTTTGCAAATATCCCCCTACTCAAAGGGTGGGGTCCTTCAGGATGAAAATACCCTCCGTTATAATACATATTTCTCTCGCACGCTCTTGATTTTTTAAGATAATGCCGGTCCAGTACACATTGTGAATGACCATTAAACAAATATACCGGCTCGACACACATTATGCCGGATTATTAGCTTTATTTTAAAAGATGAAGTGATGTGCCCGGCATTTTACCAGTTGGTTTTTTTTTTTTTTTTTTGGAGAGGGGGCATATGCCTAGAAAGTAGGGTCAAAAGGGGCACGTATAATTGTACATTTTAAAAATCACCAAGTAGAAGCAAGGTCAAAAAGGGTACGTATATTTGTACATTTTAAAAATCACCAAGTTGCTTGAAAAGCCAAAGAATGGACACGGGACTGGTTCGGGTCCCCTATGAAATCAAGCTTTGGGCGGTTCACCTGAGTTTTGTTTTATTAGTAATATGTCATAAAACGTTGTTTTTTGATCGACTTGAATCTTTAACCATGATTAGGATTTTTAAGCAAATGTGATTTAGACGTTGCACTTTTTGCTTTTATTCTTATAAAGGTAGGATGCCACTCAAAACTAGTGGGTGACTTGGACGGATTAGTTGGATTTTTAAAACACTAAGACTGCTGCTTTAATTGTTTTCACCCATGCAAGAATTTGGCTTTTTGGTAATTCCCACCCCTGTTACCTTTTTAATCCTGACAAATAATACCGAAAGGTAATCCCTACGTCCACAAGATTATTTTCTCCTTATTTTCAATTTTTCTAGCTTGTACTTTCGAGAAAGAAAATTTGTGCTCAAGTGTTAGGATCACTGGACTGGAAAAATACAAGTAATTATTTATTAGAATAAACTTTAGAAAAAGGTTATTATTCAATGATTAGATCCTAAGTGTTCTAAAACCATCCAACCATCCTAAACAGAATTAATTCCCTTGTTTTCTTAATGTTACTATGTTGTATTACCTTGCAAATGCAGAAAGAGGATAGTTCTGGTAAGCAACAATGGGTTAGGACCAATGTGGTTATGGAGGACCACATTATTACACAACCTTTTGATGAAGATCAAGAAGCTAATGGGGCAGATTTGATAGATCAATACATCACAAAACTGAGCACTACTCCATTAGATATGTCAAAGCCCCTTTGGGAACTCCATATATTGAATTTGAAGACCGATGAAGCCGAGGCGACGGCCATTTTTCGAATCCACCACTCTTTGGGGGATGGCATTTCGTTGATGTCTCTTTTGATGGCATGTACGAGGAAAACGAGTGACCCTGATTCACTTCCCTCTGTACCCCAGCGAAAGGAAAAGCCATTAGAGAATAGAAGTGGTTTATTGTCCATTTTAAGTAGGATTTGGGTAATTTTTCTGACCATTTGGTATACATTGATGGACCTTTTGCTCTTTATACCCAATACCTTGTTTTTGAAGGACACTGATACCCCAATTAAGGGCTTACCTGGTGTTGAGAAAAGTCCCAAGAAGGTTGTTCACTTGACTCTTAGTTTGGATGACATGAAGAAAATGAAATATCATGTAAATGGGGTAATTATCTCTCTCTTTGAGCTAGTAGTTTTGTTATGATATTTCAGTTTTCGGACCGATACTATAATAGGGGTGTATGTACATTTTCTTTTTACTTTCATTTAAAGTAGTACTTTTTTTCTTTTTTATTGTTTTTAACCTTTCTAAATATATTTGCTATTTCGGCATTTGCAGACTTTGAATGATGTTATGTTGGGAATTACATCAGCTGGCCTTGTCAAATACCTTGCCAGACGATATGGTATGTCTTCTCCTATATGTAGCTTGTAAGACCTGGTTATGTGAATGATTATCATTTCAATGTATGATAATATTTTTTTTTTTTGGTTTTTTCAACATTGTAGAATTATCAAAAGAGAATCACAATGGGAAAACAGAGAAACCAAGTTTCCCCCAAAACATTCATATACGATCATCTCTCTTGGTTAACTTGAGAAGTGCACCAGGGCTCCATGTAAGTATTTTTCATTTTGCATTTTTTGTTTTTTGTTGTGCCGATTTTTGTATTCGTGCTGTTATTTATTATTATTATTATTATAAAGAAAAGTAGTTAATTGATAAGGCCATTCATCTTTGGTGTACAAGGAGGTCATGTTCACATTTGGTCATTATATTTGAAATTAGGCCGTGAGGGGTGTGCCAATAAGTAACCAGGCTGGTGGGTTTGATATTTGACGGTTTGTCGAAATTTGGGCACACTCCGAATTATTGGGTTCAATATGTTATGGTTAAGAGTAATTATGACCTGCTTGTCTCCAAAGTAAATAGTTTTATAGTGTATATTCTTGTAGTACTTGATATTTTTAAAACACAAGAAAGTGTAGGATAAGGTCAATTACTCAACTTTGGTACTATAAGATCACAATTATCTTTAGCAATAAGATGTGAAATCAGAGGCATAGTGGGATATTGTCAGGCAAAAAAGCCGAAGAAAAAAAAAAAAGTTTTTCAAATTTCTTGTTCTATGTGCTAGATTGATGGTGACTTTTCTTGTATTAAAAATGAAAATTACCATGGTATCCAATCCAATCCCTTGATGTATGTGGTTAGAATTAAGTTATTGGGTTCGTTCACAAAACAGCGACTACCACAAGAAGAAACTGACAAAAACATCCATTAAAGCTGCAAATCAATGACTCAATACAAAAAAAGAAAAAAGAAAAAAAAGAAGCAAATCAATGAACAAAAAAAAAAAAAAAGAAAGAAAGAAAGAAGAAGAAGAGGAAAAAGTACAAGTACAAAACTCTGCGCTCTTATTAGAAAAATATTAGTACTTGTAGCTAATTTATGTTGAAAAGTGTTTGGTGAGCGGCGGAATCATCTGTTAATGTGCAGCCGCCCTTCAAAATTCATCGTAAAGATGGATTTTAGATCCAAATTTTTGGGATGATAGTGAATCTGGATAAACTTTTAACCTTTAGTTGGGTCACCTTCCTTTGACGTCCGGATGCCATATACCTAAGAGGATGCATATGTTTTGATGAGTCGGCTGTCTCACTAAAATTAGGTCCAATATATATTGACTTCACCCTATGAACCTAATTGAAAACACCTCACCACTTTCATTACTATTGAAAACACAATTAAATTATTCATGTGGTACCAATTCCTGGGCATGTGAGAAGATGATAGAAAAGGACTTTTGGGAAAATGTAACCCGCAAAATTTGTTGAGCCCGAACTACCACCCGAATTTGGCCAAACCCAAACATTTTTTTCTTGAAACGGTTGCATTTTGTGAATCAAAAAGAGAATGAAGAAAGTTCTAAAGATCAAGAAAACCCAAACGTGAGCGGGCTTAAACGTTGCCCCAACAACCAAACAAGTATAGCCCCGCCTCAAAACTAAGAGAGAATTGAAGTTTTAACGTCGGAAAACCTTCAAGTTGATAATCTTGGTTTTAACTATTATTGTTATGAAAAAATTTAGGATTTCAAACCCTAAAAATTAATTTATATTGTAACACGTTATCTAGACGGTCTGTTTTTCCTCAAAATAAGTGGTCACAGATTCGCAAGATCTTAATTATGTTTTGAGCTCCAAATTTTATAGTTGGTGTTGAATATTGATTTTAGAGCCATCATGGAGATTTTCGATGTTCAAAGTGTTTTTGGGTGAGACTTTACTTTGTGTTCATAAAACCTAGGCGTTATGAAAACTGCATCCTTGTAAGAAATCCTTGAAGTTTATTTTCGTTTTGTTTATTTATTTCTTTTTTTTTGATAAATGTTCTCTAGCTTTATTAAAGACTAATGAAATGAAATTACATTATTGGAGATTAAAGCCTCCGATAGATAAGCGCCCCTTTTGGCCAAAGAATCCGCCAATCCATTAGCTTTTCTATAAACATGCACGAATGAGATGGATATAGGTCTTATCAGAGCCAAAACCTCCAATAGAAGAGCTCTAAGCTCCCACCAGAATTGCTCTCCGTTACACCACTTAATGACATTCAAAGAATAGCCTTCAATCACACAACACGAGTTCAGATTTTTCTCAACAAAAAACATGTGGAATAGGGAATGAAATTCAGCTGAATTGGCAGTGGATTTACCTACTGATCTGCATAGGAGAAAATTACATTCCTTTCCCAATTTCTTACCACTCCACCAACTAACCTTGAATTCCCCAAGGAGAATTCCCCAAGGAGCTGCCATCGAAATTCATCTTGAGAGTTCCCTCATAAGGAAGGTTCCAAATCCCCTTTCGTCTGTATTTAATAAATCCCATCAAGAACAGGTTCGATAGATTTATCTGAACATCCACTTCAGCTAAAGCTTGCCCCCCTTTAGTGACCGATAGCCACAACCAAACCGAATGCAAAATCCTCTCCAAAATTCTCTAAAAAGAAATGCTTTTCCCTCTCCATAATTTTCTGAAAAGAAATACTTTTCCCTTCAAATGTCCTCCTGCTCCTTTTCTTTCTCACGGCTTTGGTGGAATAAGTATAACACCGACTTTGCAATGACCTGTAGAATTTAAGCACGTATACTGTGGTTGCACTAGTATATTGTACACTTGTTCTATCGGGTTGAGAGTTACTTGAGAGAACTTTGTTATCCAAAACCTTCGGGATCCACTTAAGAATCACATGATTATTTTCCAACAAAAAAAAAAAAAAAAAAAGTCGACACTTAGATCTCATCTTTTAAAATTTGATAGTCCTTCATTCTTGGAATTTCATTTTTTTTCAAGTACATAAAAATTGTGATTTGAACATTTTTCTTTTTAAGGTTAACGGCCATGTTGAAGATTTTGCATGCTCATAACTTTGTGGATGAAAATATCCGCGGGGTGAGGGTTGTCTAAGGTGTCAACGTTGTACTATTGAAATAAGGTGCTTTTCAAAATTATGCTGAAAATGCAGTTGCAGTGTCGCAAAGCCTTTCAATGATATGAAAATCTATTTTTGCCCCCAATTATGAAATTTAAAGTTCCAAAAATAATGACACTATCAAACAAATCTACAAACACTTGGAAATTTAAAAAACAGACGGTTTGTTAGAAATGAGCTATTTTTAGAACTAGAAATTCTCTTTTTATCTTTTTTATGAACTCGAGGTTGAGATGATCGATTTGAGGGTTTTCCAATAGGAACAACCTTCTGTAGTGAGTTTTTTAGGTACACCTTACTTGTATAGTATAAGGTTGACACCTTATATGAACTTTTTCCATATCCCCGATTTGTCATTCGATAATTATGAAATTCTTTGTACTTCTTCCCCAATATCCCCAAGAAAATCCCACTAAATGTCGTGGTTCACCCAAAACTTCTTTTATTTATTTAAATATGGGTTTTGGGAGAGAGAACTCCTAGGTATGAATTCTATATACACGCCTTAAATATCTTTTTATACATGTACTGAACTTTTTTTGAGATGTATGCATGTTATCCTCATGCCATGGATACTTTATAGGGAGAATCTCCTACTTTCTTTCAATTTTAATAATATTCCTTTAAAAGTGAGGAATATGACATTTTTTCGGTTTATCATTGTTTGATATAAATTTTTATTATTTAAAAATAAATTGTGTCAAATTAAAAGAAGATATTTGAAAAGTAATAGATATTTTGATTTGTTGCACCTCCGCATCTCACTTTGTGGATGGTATTATTTTGTTTTTTGGAGAAAATAATCCCTTTCAATAGTACATTCAATCCCTTTCAATAATTCGCCAGGCATTGGGGCCTGAGGTGAATTACCTTCGCAAATCCACTTGGACTTACCGGAGTACTGTACAGGGCCAAAGCCTAGATATGTTTTTTAAAAAATTTAAATAAAAACCAAAAGCAACATCAGAGAGTCCAAATACACTTAAAAAAAGTATAGAAAGATGGATCTTTTTTAAAAATGATTTATAGTAGGAGAAATTATAAAAAAATTCAAGAAAAATATAAAAATAGGCTTATAGCAAAAAAAAAAAAAAACTCATCAATCTTTGCCAAAAACATGTAAATTGCATATAAAAAAGAGAAAATATCTCGGTGCCTCCATTTTAAACTTTTTCTCACTAGACCCAAAGTTTTAAAATATATCTTGATGTATAGAGATTTTCTATATTATTTCTAAGAACCTTTTAGACCAACTTTACTCTTTTTGATCTTTTTTTTTTTAACCAAAACAAATTTTAAAAGATTTTTATTACACAAGTCTCTCTTTCTCTCTACGTGATTCGTAAACCCCTTCACTCTCTCTTCATTTTTTTTTTTTTTTGGGTAAGTAGCTTGTCTCTCCTTGCGTATGCAAACATCCACCTACTCTCTTTTTCCCTTTACTTTCTCTTTCATCACGCGGTCCACCATTGTTGTCGATTCTCCATTGAAATCGAGGGGCTCGTTGTTTTATTTGGAAGACCAAATTTTTGTTTATTTGATCAAACCTATGAAAAATCCATCAACATAGGTATCATTTCCTGATTCAATGAAGAGAAGAAACTAACAAGAATAATTTTAGATTCATTACAGCATTATCATATCCCAGGAGAAGTTAAAATCCCACTATAAGTTTCCCCCATGGTGGCTACTTGGACAACCACACGAGCTCTCATAAGTTTCTGAACGAACTGAGAATTCCCTTGCCTGAAACTGATTAAGCCCCTGCAGTTAAAAGTGCACCGATTGGTATGAGGGGATTTCTGGCGCGCTTCTTCTGATCGCCATACAAGTCTTCTGTTTCCAAATGGGGGATCCCAGTCTCAGCCGAAGAACCCATCTTTCAAATTTCACGGAGACACTGCTACACCGCTACTCATTACTCTCTCACTCTCTTCTTTTTCGTTTCCATGGAGTCCAGTTTCTTGCTTTATTATTCGTTTGTGTTCGAGCATCCCACCATTTCTTAATCAACATCATTATGTCTTCTCTCTGCATGTTCTCTTCCTTGCCGGTGTACCTCCCTGGCTTCAACCCTGTTCCAACAAACACCACAATTGAACTTCTTCAGCTCCATATTTTCCAAATGGCGCCACATCATGGCCATAACCAGATTGTAAACCGGAAGAATTGCCGTGTAAACATCCTTCAAGAATAACCTAGAGAGAGAAACCCAAAAAATTGCAGAATTTAAAAAGAGGCATAGATGGATCACCAAGGTGAGACAGCCATTGAAACTTGTCTGGTCACTGTTGGCAATACCCAATATTGTATTGAGGGGTGTGAAAAACTTTTAGAAGTGATCAGACAAGATCAAGAAGATGGGAAGAAGTGGGGAGCCCATATGAAGCAAATGGAGTTAAGGAAGGAGCACGGGTGTAGTTGGATTGAGTTAGGGGCAAAGTTCATGGGTGGTTTTTGCAGGGGATTTTGCAAGGAATTGAAGGTACTCCCTCCGTCTTTAATGAAATCCATAAAAAAAAATGGAGAGTTTGAGATCAAAGGCCGGCCATCAACAGTGGGAAAGAGAGACAAAGGGGGTAGAAAGAGAGTAGTGGATGTTTGTGTACACATGGTGGAGAGACAAAATGAGAAAGAGTTAGGTAATAAAAGACATCTTTAAAAATTTGTTTAGGTTAAAAAAATAACGCTGAAATGAATAAAGTTGGTTTTTTTAAAAGAAATAATACCAATGTATTAAGATATGTTTTAAAATTTTGGGTCTAGTGATAAATAAAACTTAAAAACAGGGGTTATGAAGATATTTTTCGTATAAAAAATTTATATAATTATTCCCTACTTTTGACTATTTTTTGATAATTTTGTAATTTTTTTATTTACCGGCAGCACTTTCTTTTCTCCCCCCTTTTTTTGAGTGTTAACATATGTTCTTGAGCAAATTTTTATTCTTGATTTAGTAATTTTATTTTTCAACAGGAATTAGCCGAGATGATGAAGGACAAGTCGAAAAAAGCAAGATGGGGAAATCGTATGGGGTATTTGGTCTTTAAAATGCCTATGTTGAGACACACCGATCCTTTGGAGTACTTTCGTGAGGCGAAAGCCATTATTGATAGAAAGAAAATGTCATTCGAGCCCTTCATCACTTATTTTATTGGGAAACTCGTGGTTCGACTTTTTGGAATCAAGGTAACTTTTCCTACTTTTGCCATTAATTCTTAACTAAACTATTTAAAATAATTATAAATATTCCTTAATTCCACCTTAGAAAAAGAAAATTAATGCATTCCAAATAATTTTAAGAATTATTAAACACCTTATTTGTTGGGACAATGGCGTGTAAGGTAAGGGTTGCAATGCACCGGGCCCTGGGCCGACCCTTGTTCCCATAGGATAGGCCACGCCCTATTAGGGCCCTGCCAGGCCGGAATAGAAACAAATGAAAAAAAAAAAACAAAAGAAAAAATAAGAAACAAATATGCCAGGTTGGGCTGAACCAGCTCGGCGCTGGTCGTATCCCGGCCCGTGGGCTATAATTTGTGGCCTAGGCCCTACAATTTTAGGACCGAGCTGCCCGGCCTATTGCCAGCCCTAGTGTATAGACAAATTCCTTTTTATATCGCTTAATCCATGTTGGCAATATTTCAAACTAAAGATCGTAACAATGAAATAAAAAAATTAGAAAAATGTTTATATAACGATACTATCTTGTGACTACGGATGCACCTCAAAAATCCATCGGAAAAAGTAGTTTTAATGTTGAAAAGCCCTTTGATTGATCATCTCGACGTCGAGATATATGACCATGAAAAATAAAAAAATTTTAACCCTCAGAAATAGTGCATTTTACAACATACTACCTACACCACCTATTTTCAAGATTTTCATATAATTATATATCTACTTGATTTTAACCATTTTTGAAATTTAAATTGTATAATTAAATATAAAAATAGATTTTGATATAATCTTAAAAACATTTTATATCAAAATTATAAACCATGATAGAATTTGAAGGTGCATCTTACCTCTATAGTTATTACCTCCATAGCTACGGATGCATCCGTATGCCAACTGCACCCAAAAAAATAAAAGCAGTGTTATGCTTCTTACTTTTTAAAAATATTAAACGTAAACAAGAGTGCTTCCTTACACAATAAAGTCATAATAGAAAATGTTTTGTTTTATATCTTACTTTCTCCTAAACTCTCATATAAATTTTTATTAAATAAGGCTTCCCATGCATGCACAATTAAATTCTAATTTTTAAATGTCTTCAGTTTTAGATTCAAAAATAATTTACTTACCAACAATCCAAAATGACGAAGGTGCATACTTTTATTTATCAGTAAAATAAATAATTATCTTTCAAAAAATAAAAATAAATAATTAAGTAAAGCATGAAAATTAGGAATTTATCTTAGTCCTTCTATTTAGGCGAATTGAGAAATTTATTTAATCCTATTATTGCAAGGGAATTTTATTAAATTATTTTTATAAATAATGCAAACAATAATTTAAAATTAAAAACATAATTTATATTTAGAAAAAGTACTATATGTTTAGATACTGAATAGACTCTCAAACTCTATCAAGTTAAACTAGAAATAGGACTTCTCAATAAAACAAAAGGATACACATCTCAACAAAATAATGTTTATGTTTAAAAAGATAATAATTTCTATAAAATTTACGCAAACGTGAAGTAACATTGAGAACTTAAAAATTAGATAAAATAGAATAAATAAGACAAACATTTTCATCAATTTCTCATATGGAACATCAGTTTTCAACCTACATATGATTAGCTAGTAAAGATCTATGTAACTTTCGCATCCGTTTACTAAATTAGAAGTTTTAAAAATAAAAAATTATAAATAGAAGTTGAAAAATAAAAAACTTGAGATTTGATCAAAGGAGGAGTTATATACCACAATAATTTGAATGTTTGTGTGTTGTTTTTCAGAGTGCAGCACGCATGATGCATACTGCTCTCTCAAACACCACCTTCTCTTTCTCAAATGTGATGGGCCCCACAGAGGAGGTCGAATTTCTCGGTCTTCCTATCGTCTTTATTGCACCCACCGTTTATGGTCATCCTCATGTAAGTCTTTGTTTTCTTTAAATCTTCATTTTCTAGGTAAAATTTTTTTAGAGAGTTCATATTAAAATTTTAGAGAGATCATATTAAAACTTTAGAGGGAAAAAACATATGAAATTTTTTAGAGAGAAAATATACGAATTTTTTAAAGAGATAAACTATCTCATATTTTTAGAGAGAGAAACAATCGCAAATTTAAAATTTTAGAGAGATCATATTAAAATTTTAGAGAGAGAAACTATCTCAAATCTTAAGTATTAGAGAGATAAAGTATCTTAAAATTTTAGAGAGAGAAACTAGATTAAATTTTAGAGAGAGGAACTACTTGAAATTTTTTAAACAAAAATATCTCAAAATATTTAGAGAGAGAAAATATCTCAAAGTTTAAATTTTATAGATAGAGAGAGCATATTAAAATTTGGGAGATTCAAAATTATGTGAAATTTTAGATAGAAACTACTTGAAAATTTTTAGAGAGAGAAATTATCTCAAATTTTAAGTTTTAGGGGGAGAAACTGTCACAAATTTTGAGTTTGAGAGAGAGAAACTATCTTAAATTTTAATTTTTAGAGAGAGAAAATATCTTGAAGCTTTAGAGAGATAAACCATATCACATTTTAGATAGAGAAAGTGCCAAAAAATTTTAGAGAGAAACTATTTAAAATTTTAGATAGAGAAACTATCACAAATTTAAAGTTTTAGAGAGAGAATATATTTAAATTTTAGATAAAGAAACTACTTGAAAATTTTAGAGAGAAAAAATATCAAAAATTTTAAGTTTTAGATAGAGAAAATATCTTAAAACTTTAGAGAGAGAAATTATATCAAATTTTAGATAAAGAAAGTACCTGAAATCTTTAGAGAGAGAAACTATTGTAAAAATTTATGATTAAGAAACTACCACGAATTTTAAATTTTAGAGAGAGAAAAAGTATACGAAATTTTTAGGGAAAGAAAGTCTCTCAAAATTTAAGTTTTAGATATAGAAAGCGTCTTAAAATATTAGTGAGAGTAACTATATCAAAATTTTGAGTGAGAAAGTGCTTAAAATTTTTTAGAGAGAGAAACGATCTTAAAATTTTTAGAAACTATCTCAAATTTTAGAGAGAGAACTATATCATATTTTAGGGAGAGAAACTACCTGAAATTATTTAGAGGGAAACTATCTAAAAATTTTTATGGAGGGAAACTATCTCACAATTTTAGAGAGAGAAACTATATCAATGTTTAGAGAGAGAAAGTATATACAATTTTTAGAGATAGAAACTATCTCAAAATATTTAGAGAGATAGACTATTTCAAATTTTAAGTTTTTTAAAGAGAGTATTAAAATTTTAGAAAAAAAATTTAGAGAGGGAAACTATCTCAAAATTTTAGAGAGAGAAAGAGATAAAAGATTTGCATTTCCAAAAAAAAGATATTCCAGGCAATCCAAAGAGGGAATTCGTATTTTTTGGATTTCTATTAGATGCGATCCAAGCAGCATACACCAGATTCCAGGAAATTTTAGTCCAATAAATCTCAATTCCCGGATTGACTTTTCCTAAGATTGAAAAATCCAGGGATTCAGATGGGTCCTAAGATTCTCATTAGGACTTCCAAAGATTTGGGCCGGCCCAAGCGTTTGGGCCAAGTCCAGACCGTGCATGCTGTTTTTGGGCTTCGGTCATTTGATGAAAAGAATTAAGAAGTTGAACTTCAAGGGAAAGGTTTCTATGCTTCCCTGCGGCATAGGAGTTTTATCATCCCGCTACCATCTAGCCATCCAATTTTGATCAAGAGAGTCACTCACCATTTGATCTTAGATCCGACGTCTCAAAGTATTTTATTTTTAGTTTTTTTAATACAAATTGTATGAATATGAAATTTGGTACGTGTCATCTTCTCATTGGGGTGCACCTATAAAAAATATTAAAAATAATTTTTCGATAAAATATAATGATCAAAATACCCCTTGAAACTTTCAGAAGTATTTTGGTTATTTTATTTTTTTGAAAATATTTGTTTTTATATTTTTACTAGTGCGAGTTTAATAGAGGAATGGACGTCCAAACTTTGGTGTCAAAATAGTTTATAAAAAAAAATTAAAAATAAAATCGTGTAGAGACGTGACATTATAATTGGAGCAATCTTAACCTTCCATTTAGACTGGATGGTTGGATAAAGGGAAGGATGGAAATTCTATTTTGTAGGGGAAACATAGAAAGCTTGCCCAAACTTTAATACATGGCTTGATGCTATTACTGGTCCTGGCGAACATGTATATGTGAAATTTTTGGTTCAATTTGTTTTTAAAGGTGGACCATCTTGCCCATCAAAAAATCAAGCAAGTGATAAATAAATAAATAAGATGTATGTAAATGCATATGGCTATTAACACCTTTACTCCTCCAAGTGCAGTTCTTGATCTTAGTTTTGTTCGGGGGCAAAATTGCGACATGCAAAGAGATTTAAAACATAATGGTGGGTCAAAATTCGTGTAGTTAACTCCAAATAATTGGAAAAAAGTTTTGATGATGATATATAATGGTTGATTAGTTAGGGTTGGCAACAGGCCGAGCTTGGGGCAGCCCAGCCTGTGGTCCTATTCTTTTGAGGACCGGTACAGGCTCGATCCTGGACCTATCAAGGCCGGGCCGGCTGGAACTAGCCATATAAAATTAAAAAAAACAAAATAAAGATACAAAATAAAGGCCAGGCCAGCTTTTTAGGGCCGGTCCAGGCGACCCGACCCTATGATTACTATGCGCATTTGGTCTGAACTAACTAGAGTTTTTGTTGGAATACCATGTGAAATGTTCCAAGTAGTTAATATTTGACTCCCTCTTGCTAATTATTGTGTGTGTATAGAAACTTATAATCCTTGAGACTCTCTTTACAGGCTCTCACAATACATTATCAAAGCTATACAAACAAAGTGAAATTGGTTATATGTGTGGCTGAAGAGACCATCCCTGATCCATTCAACCTTTGCCAAGACATAGCTGACGCTTTGAAGCTCATGATCTCAGCAGTTAAAGATTAAACCTTTTTCAAATGACGCATGTAATTTAATTTTGAGCTGATCTTTTAAACACAAGTTAGCTCAAAACACATTTCAAATGGCGATGTAATTTTGAGCTAATCTTTTAAGCACAGGTTAGCTCGGATTTGAGCTTTGGACCCTGCTTCGGACATAATGAATCAGTCATTGATTTGAACCTTCAAGTTAGTTTTTTTTGTTTGGTATGTTCCCAAGTTTTTCATTGAGAATGTGAAAAAGGTTACAAATATAAAAGAGAGCAAGTTTTCCATGCTTCCCCTATAGCATATAATTTATATATTTTTCCATATCCAACCGGCCATTCTAAATATACGGTTGAGATGGCTCCAATTATAATGTCACATTCTATACTAATCTATTTTTAATTTTTTTATACAAAATATTTTG